GGGTTCCTCCTGCCTCTGCCTCCCGAGTGCTGGGATTAAAGGCATGTACCACCAACGCCTGGCCATTTCTGAAGTTTTTAATTGTAGAATGATTTTGGAGAAAGAGAAACACATTGAAACTGAATTTGTAAAGAAGAAAATAACCTTTGCTCTTCTTCCTCCAGCACAACCTTCCTTCAGTCTTTGTAATAGCATCTAATTAATGATTAATATATACTCTTCCTGATCATAATTTTATGAAAAGCTTTCTTTTTTCCCAATTGACAAGAGATTATAAAATATTTGATATGTACATATATGTGCAAAGTTTGGCTTTGTGTAGTTTTTAAACATTTCAGGCACTCATCCCTGTCAAGACCCTGAGAAGGAAACATGGTGCTATAATAGATCCTGTCAGCCTACATGGTCATGAGTTTAAGGATGTTATTCCATCAACATTGTCTAAGAAGCTGTTGTTTTCCTAAGATGGCTGTATCTCACCTTTGCACTTAGATGAGATTGGGTGCATTCAGGGTGGAATGGCCTTAGACAAGGACTTAGAATATTCTATATAGTTCCAACCTGAGTGTGATGCATCATGCCTCTAACCCTAGTTCTGGAATCCAATCCACAGCAACTTGCTCAGTTGCCAATTGTCTGTAGCAGGAGAACCCTGAGGTCAAGGCCAGCCTGAAATAATATAGTAAGATTCTGGAGGTGGGGAAAGGGGTGGGGTAGGTGTTGATATTGGCAAAAGGTAATTTTCTCCTAACAGTTTTCTCCATTTCTCATAAAATACATGGGAAATACACATACACAAACACATACAGATGAAATACACATACAGGAAACACATATACACAATATTGGAAACACACACACGCGCACACACACACACACACACACACACACACACACACACACACACAGGCTCACACACACACTAAATCAAAATAAGAAGAATCACTGCTCAATTGGAGCCCTTCTGGGCATTGAGAAGAACTGAGAAACAGATCAGAACTATGTACAGGGCCAGAGGGGATGCCTGGCCACCTCTTCCTCCTTTTCCTCTTAACTCACTTGAAGTGGTCTTGTGTCTTCCAGTGTTAGTTATAAACATGAGAACATTGAGTAGCCAGGAGTTAATTTTTATTATAAACTCAACACTCTGTGTGTGTGTGTTCATGGCATGTTTGCATCTGTCTGTTCATTATAAACTCAACACTGTATGTGCATGAGTGTGCACAGATGTGTGTGTATCTGTCTGGCATATTTTGACATTGTTATCTCTGATACTGTATTTTGAGTTAAACACATGAATTGTCTTTGTTGGATTACTGGTTGCTGTTGGCTGATAGGTTTGAAATTAAGTTTAAAATGAGAAAACAGCATTTTGGTGGAGCATATTTTGGATTAACCACCCGAATTTGATTTTGATGTTAGTATTACCATCAAAATGCAAGGAATAATTCTGTCACATTTGAGGGGGGAAAATACTCATACACCCAAGCTAATGGGTTTAAATTGCAGGTACTTTCTACTGTGTGTGAACTACTTCTTCTATGGAGAGACGGTGGCGGACTACTTTGCTACGTTTGTTCAGAGGGAGGAGCAGCTGCAGTTCCTCATTCGCTACCACAGGTTTATATCCTTCGCCCTCTACCTGGCAGGTAACTTGAGGTCGGTCTGTACCAGCCTCCAGCTAATCTTCTCCATATTTATTTTTACTTGGGCTATTTAAGTGCATTTGTGTTTTGTTTTGTTTTGTTTTTTCTATAGCATTTTATTCCGGGCTCTCTTTAAATTAGTTCTTGTGTATAAAGCTATTTCTTCCATTGTGATCTTAAGTAGCATTTATTCTCTAGTGGTAATTAAAAAAACATAATTGTAGCATTCCATGTTCCTGAAATTTTTCTTTTCAATTTATAATTTAAAAAAACACTTGACCAGCATGGGACTGATCCAGACCCCCTGAATGTGGGTGTCTGTGAGAAGACCTTGAAAATCTATGGGGTCTCTTGTATTGGATCAGTACTTGTCGCTACCATAGGAATGGACTTTAGGAGCCCACCCCACATGGAGGGATACTCCCTGAGCCTAGACACAAGGGGGTTGGCCTAGGCCCTATCCAAAGAATATGACAGATTTGAAGACCCCCCCCCCATGGAAGGCCCCACCCTTCCTGGGGAGCAGAAAGGGTATGGGATGGGTAGGGTGTTAGTTGGGGGGGCAGGGGAGGGAGAGGGACCTGGGATTGACATGTAAAATAATTTTATTTCTAATCAAAAGAAAAGAAAAGAAGAAGAAAAAAAGAAAGCTAAAAAAAGAAATATAATAAACCTTGTCCTATAAAAAAACACTTGAAACATTTATTAGAGTATTTATTCATCAAATATAGCTCACAGAGAAAGCTTTACAAATATACATTTATAATTGTCCCTAGGGAATAAGGTTTCTTCGAGAGCAGTGGTTCTCAAACTTCCTAATGCTGCCATCCTTTAATGTAGTTCCTCGTGTTGTTGTGACCCCTATACAATTACATCATTGCTATTTCATACTGTAATGTTGCTACTGGTATGAATCATAATGCAAATATTTTTGGAGATAGAGGTTTGACAAAGGGGTGGTGATGATCCACAGATTGAGAACCAGCGTTCTGAATGAATCCGTTAGTCTGCTGGACACGGCAGATTATGTGTCAACGCTGCTTCCAAGATGCCATGCCCTTGTTTATTGCTTTAGAGTAAAAACCAGCTGCTAAGGAAGAGTCTGGGGGTCTGAAGTGAGGTCCCTTGATCCTTAGCCGCTGACTCCAGGACACCAGGACATGGAGCACAGTGTGGAATGATACTGGCACCTTAGAGAAGAAGGCTTTTTCTAAAGGATTTTCCTCATTTTATATCATCTTTTTTCATCCAATCTGTTTTCTGATTTCTTCCCTTAATTTAAAAAGCTATAGCTGGGTGTGATGGCACACACCTTTAATCCCAGCACTCTAGGAGGAAGAACTCTGTGAGTTTGAGGCCAGCCTGGTCTACAGAGTGAGTTCCAGGACAGCCAGTGCTACACAGAAAAAACTCCTCTCCAAAAAACAAACAAACAAAGTTATTAATGGAGGCTTGATAGACGGTTCAGTAGTTAAGAGCACTTGCTGCTCTTGCAGGGACCCAGGTTTGAGTCTCAGCACCCATGAGGGGCTCACAACTGTCCAGGGGATCCAGTCCTCTCTTCTGTACATACACATCCATGTAGTCTAAGCATACACATAATGCAAAATAAATGTCTTAAAAGCTACTGATGATGTGTTTACAGAAGGTACATTCTTAGACATAGGTACTAAAGTATTCCTGCTCTTTCAATTTGGAGGCAGTCGGTCCTCTTGAATTCTAGGCAGCTGGAAAGAGTGTGACATGGAGAGATGGTGGTGACTGACACCTGCTGAAAGGTCACCGCACAGTTCTGTAGTGTGAGGACGCAGGGCTGTCCATCTGTCAGTGCACATTCTGCACTGTATCTTCTTTGAATGAAGAGTCCATCCTCAGGAGATAGGAATGTAACTTCTGGATTTAAAAAGTTAGTAGAGTTGCAGGAAAAAGCTCTGTAATGGCTCCTGGCTGTTGTCTGAGTTTGTTCATTTGTTTCATTTTGTGGTTTCTGGTGGGGTTCAAATTGAGGGTCCCACGTGTCCTAGGCAAGTGCTACATCTCCAGTCTGTCTTCTGTCATCAACCCTGGCAATTTTGCTTTGTTTCATGTTACTGTTACTATAATTACTTAGTAATAATAATGGTTAGAATATAAATCATTTATGTTATTTATTAGTTTTTAAAAACCAGTTTCCAGAGATGTGTAGTGTAAACAGCATCCCTGCCCCGATGTTTTCTGTTTCTATAAGTGATGTACCGATTTCTTTATTTTTGGCATTATTTATTTTGATGTTGATTTCTTTTTTTCTTGTAATTTTTATTGTTTTTTTTCATTTTACATAATAATCCCAGTGTCCCCTGACCTGGCTGTCTACTCCTCAGAGGGGGTCAGGCCTTCCTTGGGGAGTCAACAAAGTGTGGCATGCCCAGTTGAGGCAGGACCAAAGCCCCTCCTCCCTGCATCAAGAATAATCAAGGTATCCCAAAGGGATATACCATATACCATAGGGAATGGGCTCTAAAATGCCAGTTCATGTACCTGGGATAGGTCCTGGTGCCACTGCCAGGGTCCCTTGATGTTGACTTCGTGTTAAATCCTGTATCACAGTCCACACTCTTAGGCCTTTAAGTCATTGTTTATGGTACTTAACTGGCTTCCAAACCATACCTTCCTGTAAAGACAAATACTGCCTGGCTTCCATTCATAAATTTTAAAGATTTTAGTTTATTTTTAGTTTACATGTATGAGTACACATGTATGAATGCATGTCTGTCCACTCTGTGCATTCAGGGCCTGAGGAGGCCATAAGGCAGCACTGGATCCCCTGGAACTAGAGTTAGAAATGGATGTGAGCTACCATGTGGGTCCTGGGAATCAAACCAAGGTCCCCTGGATGAGAAGCCAGTGCTGTTAACCAACAAGCCATCCCTCCATCCCCTCCATTCATTTTTAACTCTCCGTTCTTTTCCTACTAAACCAACCGCCCTACCTTCTCCTTCCACACAGCTCAGCTTCAGAGGGGAGCCGTCCATATTTCCTATGTGTCTAGCCCACGTGTGCTGGTAGTAGTTTTTTGTTTTGTTTTGTTTTTAGATGTCCATACAAACCAGAGACTGTGTCTTTTATTGTATCTAACAGGTCCCTGGGCTCCTCCTCCTGTGGTCTAGCTGTTTGGAGACCCTGCCTTCGTGATTTAGTTCTTTCCCAGGTCCCCCAGCTTCTTGGACATCATCCCACCGTGCAGAAGCAGGGGCTCTAGTAGTGTCTTGTGAGATAGTGCAGAGGAGAATGCTCTGTGTTCAGAAGTTCTTGAGTCTCTTAGTCTGTCCTTGTGACTGGTTGCCATGACAATCTGTGTCTGCTGCTGCCCCTTCACTTGATGCTTCTCTTGCCCCCACTGACCTTTCGTGTTGGTTTTGGTGAACACCTTTAGTCGGCAGGGCAGTCTCAGTACTGCAGAAGTTACCCATAGTTCCTGCTGTTGAGTTTTGCAATAGTTTCCTTCTATTCTCTTTGTTCTGGTTGGTCATCGTCTTCATTTCTTTCAGTGGCATTTCAGTGGACTGCCAGGGCTGAATAGACAAGAGTGTGCATGCTCAACAGAACTTTAACCTGAGTTCACATACTTCCCATGTCTTCACACAGCCGCTGGGTTTCTTTGTCCTGTGGGCTGTCAGGGATAACCAGCTCTTCTAACATAGCACTTAAAGTAACTGGAGTCTGAATAGCATAGGAGGGCTGTGCCTGTGCCCACTGCTGTTTGGGGCCTGCTCTGTACCTTTGCTAGGGCTGCTGGAGGAATGAGAAGCATGCCAAGATTCTAAAACAGTCTTGTTAAAGATAGGATGTTTTTAAATACATATACTTTATATGCTGTAGCAAACATTCTCAGAAACAAAGGAGTATTCAGTTAGTTCATCTTGATGCCTTAGAGCCATACTTCTGATCTCCAGGGGCTTGTGGAAGTTATTGTAGAAATTCCAAAAACTTCCGGAGTATTCGAACGTGTACATTCCTGTCTTCCCTCACTTATTTTTTTAGGCAGATAAGAGCCAATTATTCTATGACCCATCATTTCTAGTTAAGGTAGCTTCAGGGTAGCTTCAGGTGGGAGTATAGTAACATATCATCTACCCACCCCAGTGTCTCCTGATGCATGGTTGTAAGAGATTGCAGCTTGCAGTCCATATGGGCCTAATGCCAGTATATATGAGGCTGCATTTTCCTTCCCTTCCTCCCACTGTTAATGGCTGTAGCTCATGCTTGAGAATAGCTTCTATTGAGTAGAGATAGATGCGAATCGATTTTCTTGTTTCTGTTCATACATCCTATATATCATCTCCCAACTAACTCCCTTCCAGTGATTGTTTTGTATGTTAAAGATTTAGAATCTCATAAAATAACTGTTCGTTGTTTTTCTCAACGATGTGCTGATTTGCGACACAGACATTTTACCACAGGTAATAGGCTCAGGAGTCACAGAAGCTCATGTGAAATTAACCAGTTATTCTTTTAAACAAACGTCCAAGTGCTTCCCAATGCTAGGGCCTAAGTGTGGCAGCCCCAAGAGCATAAGGGGAAATGGTGGATAACCCCACCCAGTGTGTAAAGCCTACAAGTCTCAGGTCCATCAACAGGAGCAGGAAGAAGAGGCCTTGCTCTGAGAAGGGCTGGATCACCACGGAAACCTTGGAGAAAAGATACCTGGTGCTATGAAAAGTGAGGAATAGGTGTGTCTCTTCCATCTATTCTGGGACCAGCTGGGCTGAGCTAGGAACAGAGCTGAGACGATGGCATGTCCAAGTCTGAAAAGTAGATACATGCGTCCCGGGAAGCTGGTTTTGTCATGGGAAAGGGTTTGGACTTCTCCCAGAGAAGTCACAAGGGGCTTCCACACCAAGACAAGATAAAAGCAAATCTGTGACTTAGAAATGGGCAAGTTGGGAGCAGTTAGCAGAGAGAGTAGTGAGGAGGCAGAGTCTGGGTCCTGCAGATTTATACCCAGCACCAAGGGGCTATACACT